AATGACTTATCCTATCACTTTACTACACAAAGAGGACCTTAAATTTCTTGAGGTTGTTTTCCCTGAAATATACATATAGTCTGAGGAAACAAGAATTAGTACAATTGAGGGAAGTCTGGGTGGTAGTCAGTTAAGTGTCTGACTCTCAGTTTCCATACAGGTCATGATCTGAGGGTCGTGAGACAGAGCCCTGGGTTGGGCTCTGCCCTTGGTGGGGAGTCTGAGATTCTCTCTCTCCACCTCTCCCTCTGCCCCCTCCCCTGCTTGCACGTGTGCTCTCTCTCTTTCTAAAATAAATTTTAAAAATTTAAAAAGTATTAGTACTATTGCACTGATTTTCATTCCTGGATAACTTTTCCAGAAACATTAACCAATTTAATGTCCTTGTGAAAGAGGTATTCTGACAGAGAAAAAAACTACACAAGATCACACAGTTCACCTAAGCCCACAAAGTCAGCCAGCATTTTTCTAAGGCATAAATAAAATATTAGAAATAGTCAAGGCCATTAGAATCTGACAGTCCTTCAGTATTTTAAGATGATGTTAAAGAGGACACACTTAGGGATTTTTCAATTAGCAACCCAAGCCTTACTACATAGCCAAATGAAAAACAGCATTTTGAAATTAAAGAATTACCCTGACAGCATCTCTAATATTGAGAAGCCCAAACCCTGAAAATTCAGAAAAAATACTGGTGACAAAAATACCTTGAATTTTCCACAAATTGCAAGAAGAGTTTGAACTGATCTGAAGTAGATCTGAAAAAAAACAGGATGATTCGCACAGATCTGTGACTACCATACTATATGTAGATGGCTCATCAGGATACTGGAAAACATTTGCTGAAGTCATCAGATTCGAGAAGCTATTTTTAGAACCCTACATCTAAAATTTCTATTGAATAACTGAGGTTAGGAATGAAGCAGGAGAGATGGACTGAGGGATACTGTGATGACAAGAGAGAACCAAGGACAGTGGAACATAGGGCTTTAAAGCTGTTATCTGTCATTTCCAAAGAAGTTTGAAAACCTTCTAACCTCTATGTTCTTTTGATTGGAGTCAGGGATGGGCAGGGGAATAGTTCAGCTGTAGGCCTCCTCCTTCAAGTCCAACACTTGTAACTAACTTTGTGGGTAAGAAGGCTAGAAGGGCAAAGGGCAGGGATGGGTACATGGCAGCCATGGGTAAGAGGGACAGGCAGTAATCACAGCTTAAGCCAAGGGTTGGTACAGTGCCTAGAGTTTCTAGAGTCTAGAACAGAGCAGGGAGTTGGAAAGGAGAGTAATAAGAGACCCAGAGAGCATAACAAGAGCCAGCCAAAGATCTGGAGACCAGAATATCAGCCAAGGTTAAAAAGTGGGCCATAAAAAAAATAAGTGGGCCATGAATCCAGGTTCCCAGCTAAGAGGATATGAAAAAGTCAGCAAATCCTTTCCACAAAAATCAAGTATAAAACTGGACAAAATCATCAACAACCACTTTAGGGTTCTGGGAATTGATCATCAAAGCCAAACAACACATTGAAAAATGTTTAATTTTGAAAAATTGCTAAAGCTTGGGAGTAAGTAGGACAGGAGTCTGTGATCTTCTTGCCAGGGGCTGCTCCCACCCTTTCCAGCTTGGTCAGTGAGAACTTAGTTTCATCAGGATAGGTAGGGTAGGCTAGGGGCACCTGGGTGGCTCATTCGGTTAAGCGTCTGCCTTCAGCTCAGGTCATGATTCCAGGGCCCTGGGATCGAGTCCCGTGTCAGGCTCCTTGCTCAACAGGAAGCCTGCTTCTCCCTCTGCCTGCCGCTCCCCCTGCTTGTGCTCGCTCTCTCTCCCCTCCTCTCTCTGTCAAATAAATAAATTAAATATTAAAAAAAAAAAAAGGATAGGTAGTGCTGGCTGGAAAATCAGCAGCTTTGCTACCACAGGAGGTGGACTCTATTGGGAGTGGAGGTGAAAACCTGCAGCTTTGTCAGCTAAAAGTGGCAACCTTGGTGGAAAACAAACAAGGAATACCCACAGCTCCGTGAGCCTGAAGTTATAATTCCCACTGGGAAGACAGACAGACAAGCCAGAAATTTAAAAGGGAGATCTTGGAAATGAAAGAGTCACAGAAGAGTGAGATAAGCTCTCTCCATATCCCTGGCTGACTGGGACACTAGGCACATACACAGGGGAGACTCGAGAGAGCCCAGTGGCAAGCAGACTCCAAGGCTGATGGAGAAAGGTACTCCCAGCCCAACAGATCAATGGGCAGAGAGCAGAAGCCCTACAGACTCGAGGTGTTTAAGCACAAGGTCTGCCCCAATCCCTGGTGGAGCGCTAAGCTATGCAGACACAGGGACAACCTCGAGCAAGAGAGGCTAAAAAATAAAAAAAATAAGAATTTAAAAGTGAGCAGAGACATCCACGGCCGCATACTATGGGGGAGATAGATTCTGCAGTCTAAATCAAGGAAAGTTACTTTCAAAAAAGCCTCAGAAAAATAAATGAGAATCCACAGTTGCTACAATGTATTATCTAAAATGTCATTTTCAACAACAAAAGAATTATGCTGTGCAAAGAGAGAAAAGTGTTAGGAAAAAAAGCAGTCAATAGAGCAAGACCAAATGTTAGATTTAACGAAGACTTGAAAGCAGCCATTATAAAGAAGTCCAAAGAATTAAACTATATTCCAAGAATTAATGGCAAATAGGATGACAATGACTCAAAAAATAGAAAATCATGGGCTGCCTGAGTGGCTCAGTCAGTTAAGCATCCAACTCTTGATCTCAGCTCAGGTCTTGATCTCAGGGTTGTGAGTTCAAGTCCTGTGTTGGGCTCCACGCTGGGTATGGAGCCTACAGAAAGAAAGAAGAAAAGGAGAGGAGAGGAGGAAGAGAGAGAGAGGGGGAGGGAGGGAGGGAGGGAGGGAGGGAGGAAGGGAGGGAGGGAGGGAGGGAGGGAGGGAGGGAGGGAGGGAGGGAGGGAGGGAAAGGAAAGGAAAGGAAAGGAAAGAAGGGAGGGAGGGGAGGAAGAAAGTAAAGAAGGGACCAGAGAGAGGGGAGGGGAGAGAAGGGGCGGGGGGAGGGGAGGAGGAAGGGAGGGAGGGAGGGAGAGAGAGAGAGAAAGAAAGACAAGGAAGGAAGGAAGGAAGGAAGGAAGGAAGGAAGGAAGGAAGGAAGGAAGAGGGGCGCCTGGGTGGCTCAGTCGGTTAAGCGACTGCCTTCGGCTCAGGTCGTGATCCTGGAGTCCCAGGATCGAGTCCCACATCGGGCTCCCTGTTCGGTGGGGAGTCTGCTTCTTCCTCTGACCCTCTCCCCTCTCATGCTCTCCCTCTCTCTTTCTCTTTCTCTCTCCCTGTGTCTCTCTCTCAAATAAATAAAATCTTTAAAAAAAAAAAAGAAAAGTCAATCTGAGGGTTGCTGGAGTGGGGGGTGGGGTGGGAGGGATGGAGTGGCTGGGTGATAGACACTGGGGAGGGTATGTGCTCTAGTAAGCGCCGTGAATTGTGCAAGACTGTTGAATCTCAGATCTGTACCTCTGAAACAAATAATGCAATATATGTTAAGAAAAAAAAAAAAGAAGAAGAAGAAGGTAGCAGGAGGGGAAGAATGAAGCGGGGGAAATCGGAGGGGTAGACGAACCATGAGAGACGATGGACTCTGAAAAACAAACTGAGGGTTCTAGAGGGGAGGGGGGTGGGAGGATGGGTTAGCCTGGTGGTGGGTATTGAGGAGGGCACATTCTGCATGGAGCACTGGGTGTTATGCACAATGAATCATGGAACACTACATCTAAAACTAATGATATAATGTATGGGGATTAACATAACAATAAAATAATAATTTTTAAAAAAAGAAAAGAAAGGAAGGAAGAAAGAAAGACAGGCAGTCAAGAAAGGAAATCACAACACAGAAACAGAATCTAAAAAACCACCAAATGGAAATTCTGAAATTGCAAAGTACAATAACCACAATGAAAAATTCGTTACATGGGTCAAAAGCAAATTTGACAATGCAGAAGAAACAATCAATGAATTTGAAGACAGATCAATAGAAATTATCCAATCTGGAGAACAGGAAGGAAAACAGTGGAGAAGCGGGCCCCGGCAGACAGTGTCAGACGTACAAGCAGGCAGAACAAACAGTAATCGAAACCTCACACGTTAACACTGTGTCAAGTATACTGTCAAGTAATCAAATTTTTTAAAAAGAATGTAAACCTGAGCTGAAGGATTTCTCAACTCTAAGCCTCTTATTCATTTGTTAAATGGGGATGGTCCTATTTATTAATAGTACCTACGCCTCACAGAAATGACGAGAGGATAAAATTAGTTAGAACAGGTAAAGCACTCCCTAGCACACTGTGAACATAATAATTGCGGGCTGCAATCAGTATCATCCTCATACACATTTTGCTAGGGAAGGAAATCATGGCTGGCCCTGGCCCAGAAAGTTCCTCGGGAAACTTTCCTACCTAGAGGGACATTCCCTACAGGCAGCTGGGAAGAAGGAGAATAAATCCTAACTGCTACTGGAGAAAAATAATACAGCTATCAGTTCTTTGACATTTATTACTTTGACAAAATCTTCTAGTTAACTTCATAATTATACAATTACTTCTACATTTGTAAGTATACTTGATTTTTTAAGCATTTGTTCTTTTTTAAGATCTTCAAAAGTTTCCACCTGAGTGTGAAATTCTAGGGAAACTTGTTTTCTATGTACATATATTCATAACTACACCTAGAAGTGACTTGAACGTTCATATCCTAATAAGCCCTCTTGCAACGTTTCGGGGCTAGGAGTGGGGCAGCCGTCATCAGAATGAAGACGTGATTCATATAATATCAGAAATAGGAGTTATCGAAACCTAACACGGGTTTTGCCAAACCAAGGTAACCAGCCAGCCGGCTACTCTGACCAGAGGGGAATTACCAAGTCTGACCTGAGGAGACTTCACTTCCCACCAGCATATTTATTTCTTTTCCTTTTGGGTTTTGTTTTGTTTTTGTATTTGTTTTTACTCACTCTGTTTTTGGAACCGCTTTTCGCAGCCAGAAGAAATCAGACTGTGCTAAGTACTTGCGGGTTTGCAGGACATTGCCAAAGTAGTCGAATTCTGAAAACTTGATCTGAATAAAACAAACCACAACCATCATTGTTCCAAGTGCAGATAAAAGAGGGCCCTGAAAAAAGCCTTCAGCACACAAATGAGCAACCAACGGAGAAGCTGCACTCCTCGGGACACCTCTCAGCCATCACCAGTTAACCCAGTATCCACAGAGCCATGAAATTTAATCTCCGTGATTTTTCTTTTAAAAGCCCCCAAATCGATATGATTATTTCTGGATCACAGTAAAAAGAGACGCTGCAGTACTTTATGATACATTTCATTCACTTTGTAATTGAAAAATCTACTTTAAACTTTATAGGACATATCCTCTTAGGTTTGAAATTTCTTGGCTCACATGAGTCCTTGATCTTTTCTAAAATGTGTACTTTATTTGTCACATAGGTTCTTCTAATAACATTCAGTTTAGTCAGCTAAAACCTCATTTAGCTTATAGATGATGATTTAGTCAAATGTTAAAATCCAATTTACTGTAATCAGCATTTGTTCATGAAGGGAAAACAATGAAAGTGATTCAGAGACTTATTTTCCCCGCTAAGCACAATGGAGTCACTAGAATCATTTCATTATTAACAGAACTTGTCTATTACCACTCAAAAAATTCTCTGGTCTCTAAAAATTAAAGAAATTACAGAGGCGAATTGTAGATTACAGCTTGGCATAGAAAGACCGAAAGTTGATGCGTCACAATTTGTGTATTAAAATAGGGAAACAGACATAAATGATTCCTGAGTTCCTTTTCTTTTTTTGGAAGGAGAATGGCAAACAGTTTGAATTCTCTAGGCATTCTATCTACAAAACTAGCAGTCCTTAACCTAAATATTGCAAATAATATCTGTGAAACAGTAAAAGCAATGGGATGAAGTGATGGCTAATTCTTTGGTTTGAAAATATACTACTGGGATGCCTGGGTGGCTCAGTCAGTTAAGCGTCTGCCTTAGGCTCAGGTCATGATCTCAGGGTCCTGGGATTGGTCCTGCATCGGGCTCTCTGCTCAGCGGGGAGTCTGCTTCTCCCTCTCCCTCTCCCTCTGTGCTGTCAAATAAATAAACAAAAATCTTTAAAAATATATACTACTGTGGCAAATAAAATAAGAAAAATACATGTTTGAATAAGCAAATAACCAAGAGGAATCAAAATCTTACTACCTGTAATTTTTTTGTAAATTTAAACCATACTCTTTTAAAAGCAAAAATTAAAATATAGCAAATGCATGTATGTGAAACCCACAGGCCTTACATTATAAATATGAATACACACATACAACTTGATGGCTATAGATTTGACAGTCATCTACATCTGGCTCATGTTTAGCTCTTCCCGAACATACGATTGATACTCATTATAAAAATATCTATGGAGTAACTTTTGATAATAATTCATCTTGATCTTTCCAGGGGATCAGGCCAAAATATAAAGGAAGGAGGAAAAATAACTAAAGGCACAGGGAGAAAAGCAGGAATGCAAGTATCAATTCCTGGCATCTTTGGTGTTCTACCTGACCAACCAGTTATAAAGATCTGACTTTAAGTTGTCCCTCCTTCAAGCCTCTTAGGGGGGTGGCTGATAAACAAATTGTGGTATAGTTCCATAATGGAAAATAATACAGCAGATTAAAAGAATGGTACGTACGCATGAACATGAAATAATCTCCAAAGCAATGCTGAGTGAATAAGGCAAGTTGTATGTATGAGCGAATTTAAAGTTTTAAATCATGTAAAATGATACTGTATGTTGTTGATGGATACATACCTATATAGCAAAAGCATAAAGAAATACATGGGAATAATAAACACTGAATTCCAGAAAGTGTTTATATCTAGGGAAGGAGGTAGGCAGGAAGAAAAAACATTATTAGGTCAAGGTGGATTACAAAAAGAATTTCCAGTTTATCTTATTCATTTCAAATGTGTATGTGCATCATAAAGCTAATACAGCAATGTTTAATATTTGTTAAAGCTAGAGGTGTTCAAAATAGGACTTTATATATTTTCCAATGTTTGAGATGCTTCAAAATAAAATCCTACAATTGATTGTATTTAAAAATAGAAGTTTATACTCAACCTCAGAAGAAAGAGGGTAAGCTCCTTGTTTTAGCAAGCAGCTTTAACTAACATCCTAATGCATTCCTGGGTCATATAGTTAAAAGATGTGTCCACTGTTCAACCCTTAGCCTTTTTTTAGCTTTTGTTCCCAAGACAGCTCTGACAGAACCTTTAGAATATGAGTGTAACTGATGAAAAATTCAGATATGCTCTTGGGTTCACAACACTTTCTGGGACATTCTCTCAAGGGAATTCCCTTCAAAAATATTAACTTTTCTTTTTGGTAATATCAGTGGGGTCAGTTGTTGCTTTTGGAAGAGTCTGCTAATTGTGATACTTTCCTGTTCCATTTGAAAAAAAAAAAAAACTTGGTATTCAGGTTGTTCTATAGACATTAAATGGAAAACCATCCAAAAATTTCCTTAAAAAGAAGAGTTCTGAGTAAAAAAATAAAATAAAATAAATAAGATCCTATCATTGCCATAAAAATAATCATGCGGAGCAAAACTAAGAGCAAGTAATTACAATTTGCCAATGGCTTATCTATCTTTCGAAGGACAATTTTAAGATTGTTTTAATTATTAAAACAGAATATTTTCTATTTCTTAGCCTAATTTAATTGATCTATTCCATTTACTTAATGGAAATCATAGGTAACAGAGGACGAAATTTTACCTTTTCCTGTGACACGGGTTAAGTGTTCGGGGGTAGGGAAGGGCCAGCCCCTGTTATTCCCAAATGATAGATGAGGAAAAGAGCTGAAGAGACTATGGAACTATGCAAAGCCATACAGTTCAAATCATGAGGCTCCTAATTTCAATGTTCCTTTCATTGGTCCTAATAAGAAAAATGGTGACTGGAGGAGAAACAGTACAGGGAAAGAGGAAGCAAAGGTAAGAATTAAGGGTGGGAGGAGAAGCAGTGATTAAATAAGCAATGGTAGTTTACTTAACATCATATAGCTGTTAAAATAATGCTAATTAGGCTAGGGAAGTCAAGGCCAAAACAACAGGTTAATGGTAAAGGTCAATATACAAAATTATATACAAGTGTTAATTTCAGCAATACCAAAATTGAAAGACAAGATAACATGGTGAAACAGAAGTATGTATTATTATGTTCCAGTACCAATATTATGGGGGCTTTTTCATGCCTTTTCTCTATTTCCCAAATTTTCCACCATGTGATAATACTTTGATAAGTGCAAATATTTCAACAGGCCCTTGTTTTTCCTTTGAAGGAAAAACAACGATGAAACCCAGCTACCACTGGGAAAGTTCCATTTGTGGAGATAGCAACAAGAACAAATGCACATAAGTAGTTGAAAACCACCTGTATCTTCAAAAAAAAATGTTTAAACTGTGCAAGGGACAATAATCGGCTCAAAAGCCTCTTGTCCTATCCATTACTGGTGAAAAATGTAGGTCAAGTTGATAATGACTTTCAATCACTTACATCTCCTGACTTTTCAATTGGGTGATCTTTGGGAAACTCACTGGGGCTCTCGTGTCATGTCCTAGGAATAGCCGTCCAGATCCTAAAATTCAGGGGAATCTGAATTTCTCTTCCTGGAAATCCTATCCAGGATACCAAGCATCAAGTGTCACAGACTAAAGGTATAAAGGGATAAAGCTGTTACCACCCCTCAAAGGTGAGGAACAGAACAAGGAGGGCAGAACAAGGGCAGAACAAGGAAATGTGTTCAGCTTCTCTGTAGGATAAGTACATGTTGATAAGACATGAGCCGGGGCACCTGGGTGGCTCAGTCGTTAAGCGTCTGCCTTCGGCTCAGGTCATGATCCCAGGGTCCTGGGATCGAGCCCCGTATCGGGCTCTCTGCTCGGCCTGGAGCCTGCTTCTCCCTCTCCCACTCCCTCTGCTTGTGTTCCCTCTCTAGCTGTCTCTCTCTCTGTCAAATAAATAAAAATTAAAAAAAAAAAAAAGACACTACATGAGCCAAGAGGACAAAGAGATTCTAGAACACTTTTTAAGTTAAATCCATTTAAAGATATTCAGAGATATATCTGAGTAAGAAAGATTTTCTGTTAGGCACTCATAGAATTTTCTAAAAACAAAATGGAATTCAGATTTTATACTTATGTTTCCCCTTATTTATAGCAAAGTAGTATGTAGGATTGCTGCATTTAGACAGCTCTGTCCATAAGTATTCTGTGTGTGTACATATATACATACCTAGATAGAGACAATGTTCAAACTGTTTAACAACTTACATATATGGTACACTGTGAATGATGCAGTTCCCACAAGCAGCCACTTAAGGGTGACTCTGAGGAGCGCCAGCTGGTACACCACCAAGGAACCAGATGCCCTGTAGCCACCGCTGGGGGACAGGGGAAAACTTGGTCTGCTCTTGAGAAGGGAACACTCAAGATGGAAGCCAGCGTGTGGGAGTTATGGAAGACTAGCTGGAAGGCTGGTAGGTACAAGGGCACTCCCCTCCAGTGCCCACTCTTGGCTCTTCTGGGCCATGGTGGCCAGAGATAACTTGGTTGAACTTAGGACAATGTTTTATTTTGTTTCTTTACCTATTGTACAGAATTACTTCAATATTTTAGCAACCTGTTTTTCTGGAGCATGTCACCTAAACATCACCTCTCTCTTGCACAGTGGCAGTACCACTCTCTGTCACTGACATACACACACACACACACACACACATCCATTCCACTGGCTAGAGCAGACCAAGATCCACCCCAGAGAATATTATGCAGGTTCACACATCTGTATATCTCTATATGCATATTGATATGTTTATGTATGTACGTGTTTATCACTCACCAGAAACATTGATCTCTGAAAAAGTACCCAGATCCAATTCTCCTAAGTAAATAGATGCCAGCTGGGACTCTGACTTTAGCCCTTACTCCAATTCTCCACTGGTTTTCACAAGAATGAGTGAAATACCGAGTGGGGCCAATTACTTACCTACTGTCTCTCAGCTGCATGCCCACCCTTCTACTCTGTTCTAGAACAATGGGGCAGGGAATCTGAAAACTTTATTTCCCAGGCCCGAGTGCCAGTTGGCTTCCTGCCAACAGGAGGCACTGGGTGAAATCAGCAGGTGGCAGGAAGGGAAAGGATGCTGTGTTTGTTCTCTCTCCTCTTTTTTCTGACAATGATGCTGTAAGAATCTTCAGCCCCTCTTCCTATTAAATCTCCTCTCTTTGAAATACCTACTGTGGTTCTGGCCTTCCTGACTAATACAGCAACCTTTCCACAACTGGCATCAACTCACTCTTGAGTCTATTTTCATGAAGGATCAATGAAGGCATACCTTGTAAGGCTAATCTGAAAACGGACCAACGCCTACATGTTTAAAGCTAACCAGTAGGTTCTCCCCGCATGCTACCAGGGGTTCGCACAAAGGGCATCTCCTCTCTTCCTGCTCTTTTCAAAGACTAAAGTAAGACTGTTGTTCAGAAATACTTGGCTGGGCATCTCAGTTTACCTAGTCAATCTCAGGGGGGCGGAATTTTTTTCTCAAATTCTTTACATTTGCCTCGAAGTTCTTTTCCATTTGCTCTTATCTCCACATGAGCCCAACTTCAGTCTTCAGCCTTTCTCCTTGACCTTCATCTGATCCATTACCTAATCTCTATCCTTTTTCCTTCGCCTTTCTGCCTAATGAAGCATATCTTTGCTTGCGTCAAATAAAGTAAGCTGTTTTTCATTTCTAACAGCCTCTCAAGCTCAGAGCTTGTATTACCAGAAATTTCTCACAGACCCTATAGTAGTCCTTATCTACGTGTTTCTCAAAACTGAAAACACAGCCTTATTGTATACCAGTAATACTCTAGTCCTACTGCTATTCACCTTGGCGACACTATTACTGTCTATCACATCAAGCATCCTTTACCTATATTCAGGTTGGGTTTTATTCATTTTTTCTATCCATTTCTGAACACAAATGTATTTTGATTTCAGTATTTGGATGTTTTTTCACCGTCTATTTTTTTAAACTGTTAGAAACTCTTGGGTGCATCTGGGTCTACTCTGGCTATGAGTCAGACAAAAGCTGTTTCTTGACAAAAGTGATTAAAAATCTTGCTGTGTAATGGCTTCAGTTAAGACCCTGGAGAAACAAGAAAACCCACCTAATACTGCAGCCTGTCTGGCATCTGGTTTCTCTTCACAAAAGATACTGCATCCAGCGAGTACTCACATTTTTGGGCACTCGCTTTAGACAAGAGCAGACTGCCAACAAAACCTGATCAGTTGAATATTGTGAGTGAGCCCTGAACTCTATCTTATTTGATTAAAGCTTGAGACTGTTCCATCTGCATAGCCTTTTAAATCAATTTGAGGCACCTAGATCGTGCACGGGTCAATTCATAATGACTTTTCCACACCAAAATAATCTCTTACATACAAATTGAAGATGCCGTAACTTAACACTTAGATTGTGCTTACTGCGTGCCTGGGTCCATTTTAAATACGCTAAATATGTTAACTTATCTGATCTTCACAGCAGCCCTATAAGGGAGGGGTTATTATTCTCAACTCCATTCAAATATGAGGAATCTGAGGCACAGAGATGCTATATAATCTACCCTAGGTCACACGGCTAGTAAATGGCAGACTAGGGATATAACTCCAGGCACCTTGATTCCAGGGCCCATGTCCATAACCACTACACCAAAATACCTCTCACACCTTCTCATCTGCATCCTTGACTTGGAATAATTGCCCAGCTCATCCAGGCTCTCCTTCTAAGGCATTTTGTGCCCGGTGATGCTCTTCTCAGCAGCAACGGTTCTCATACTGATCCACAAAGTAACAGCTAGCACTTACAAGGAACCTACTTATGCGCCAGAACATTATGTTAGGTGCTTTCACATTTATATACTCTCATTTAATCCACCCAACAATACCAAGACTTGGTTATTATTATTATTTCCAGTACCAAGTGTTGGAGAAGGTCGTCAAAGACTTGACTACAACTTGACCTGTGAGCTGGACCTGGGCAGTCCGAGGCTCCCCACCCCCTATACCCAGGAATGGGGGTTCTGCTTACCTTTCCCGCTCCCAGGGGCTGCTCTGAGGATGCAGCCTGGAGATAGGGATGTGGTGTGGGGAACACCTGCACAGTATACATGACTGAACCTAGTTATGGCCTCTATATAAACTTTTAAAATCTGGCCAGCAGGTGCGGGGATCCACTCATCTTGCTGCCCTTGTATGTAAGCTCCCTTGGCTTATGAAACCTACCACCTACCAACGTGGAGTGGCCCTCTAAGTACCAGGGCCAGTTTCAGATTGCCCCCAGGAAGCTCCTGAGGAGCTTGTAAACCAATACCCAACAACCAAAGGGAAGATAACTGAACCTGCACAAGATCAAACGACTAGTAAGTGGAAAAGGCAGAAGCGCTGCAAGGCCTGTGCTCTTAACCACTTGACAATATGACCTCCCTCTTTTCTTCTCCCCTCCCAACCAGCTCTGGGAAAGCAGCTCCCACCAATTCTTTAAGCCCACCAGTCTTCCTCTGGGGCAGGTGCCTGAGAAGGACCTTGCAGAACCCCTGCTCTGATTATAGGCAGAGCTTTCTGGGCCTGGATTTCAGTCCTGGCTCTGACACTATGTAGGACACTGAGGAAATCACTTAACATCTTTGAGTCTCTACGTCCTTTTCTGCAAAATGGGGATAAACACCATCTACTTCACAGGCTTACTGTGGAGGTTACAATATAATGTACATATGTGTCAAGTGCGTCAGTATTTTTAATTATCATAATAATACTGAGATTTTTCCGCATCAAAACAATGTACAAGATGGGTTGAAGCACATTATTCTCCTGCAGAGCAGCCGGAGAAATACTTTGGAAGGCCATACCTTGGGACCAATGGAGAAACTTTATAATGAAAGCTTTCTCTCACTTTTGAATAATCCTATAAAATTCTGATGTTCATCTACAAGTCGAGGACTGCTTTTACTTATGTGACTTGTCAAACTACAATCTCAGGAAAGACCTACATCTCAGAGCCTTACTTACTACACTCTAGAAAACTACCTTTAAAAAAAAAAAAAACTATATATATATATTTTTAAAGATTTTATTTATTTATTTGACAGAGAGAGAGACAGTGAGAGAGGGAACACAAGCAGGGGGACTGGGAGAGGGAGAAGCAGGCTTCCCGCTGAATAGGAGCCCAATGCAGGGCTTGATCCCAGGACCCTGGGATCATGACCTGAGCCGAAGGCAGATGCTTAACAACTGAGCCTCCCAGGCACCCCTAGAAAACTACTTTTTCAAGAAAACGTAGTGAATGGTAAAAACAGGGGGTTTTGTGAGGAAGAAAAGTTCTTTATCAGAACTATTTGTAGGAAAGGAAGTAATAGTGATTGTGATTAGAAAGGCCTGTAATGAATGTATCTACTGGAAAATGCATGTCCCAAAATATCAGAATACAAAAGTTATTACTATTCCTCCATCAGTAACTTACTGCAAATATACAGTCCAACTCACAGTAAATTATAGAGTCATATGTATGTGCACTTAATCTGCCAAAACACTCATAAAGTTTAATGAAGTTAACTCCCAGCAGGCAGATTTATTACTAGTCATTTAGTATGAATGAAGCACATAAAGAATGTTTAACAACAAATATCATGCGTTTTACATTAGAACATGGCCACTAATTGTAAAATACTCAATTTGCTTAATCCTTTCCTTTATAATCAAATCAGACCGAATCCAGGTCCATGTGCTTTATGGTACCCAGTCAGCTATGCATTCTTTCTGACACTTCCTTTATTTTGAATCTGCTCTAAATCTTGTGATACGCCTGGCATATTGAGGTTCATATCTAGCCAAGGGATGAATCAAAAGTTGGTGCTTTCTGGCACTACTTGGTTTAAGTGCTTGGACTTGGGTTAGTTGAAAGGCATGAGGCCAGTAAAAGTTGCCAAAAAATAAAAATACAGTATATTTAGCACTTACTGCCTTGAGGTCTTCATTAACATAAGTATCATTCATTATAAACTCAGGATAGCCAACTTTTGCCAAAACAGCTCTCGCCTATAAAAAGGAAAGAGAAAAACGAGGTCAGAGTTTCAGCACTTAAATCATTAATAATCACACAATGTAGGACGCAACGGTCATCTGAAAACTCTCTTTAGGGAGTGCCTAGTAAATGCAACCTACTGTGAAATGCAAAAAAAAAAAATGTAATTTAGTCTCTGCCCTCAAATACTAACAATACAGTAAATGCACAAACAAATATATAGTAAAAATAAAGGTTTCAAAAGAAAGACAATATTGTTATCAAATTCTAGAGCAGAGACTAATTCCTCATGAGGAAAATGCTTAACGTAGGTGACCAAACCGAGTCTTCGAGAATGGGTGGGATTTCAAAATGCAGAGGTGAGGGCGCCTGGGTGGCTCAGTTGGTTAAGCGACTGCCTTCGGCTCAGGTCATGATCCTGGAGTCCCAGGATCGAGTCTCGCATCGGGCTCCCTGCTCAGCCGGGAGTCTGCTTCTCCCTCTGACCCTCTTCCCTCTCGTGCTCTCTGTCTCTCATTCTCTCTCTCTCAAATAAATAAATAAAATCTTTAAAAAAAAAAATGCAGAGGTGAGAGGAAGGGCATTGCAGGAGAGCACAAGGACAAAGACAGGGAGCCAGAAAGGAAGGACATCACACAGAGAGGAGCAGCACTAGGAGGGGGGAGCAGTAGACAATCCGTAGGAAAACTGGTTTGGGCCAGTTCACAGGGATTCCTAAATGCCATGCCAAGAGTCTATATTTTCTTTCACAGATAGGAGAGAACGAAATGTTTTTAGCAGGAGTAAAATGAGATGAGTCACCCTTCAGCAAGATTATCACACGCAATGCTGAGAGTGATGGCCGGAATGCTAGAAAGATTGGAAGTAGGGGGTCCAGACTAACTTAAGATGTGCCATAACTGTCCTTTTGATAGACAGACTACTGCCTCCCTGTGTTCTGTAGCATAAAGGGAATGGATGAAGGAAAAATCACCTTCGGCACATACAAGGAGCTTGCACAGCAGGGATTGGCCAACTACGGCCCCTGGGCCAAATCTACTGCCCCCCCCCCTCTTCCCCACCCCACCTCTGGCTCTACAAACTTGTACTGGAACACAGCCAAGACCACTCACTGACATGTAATCTGCAGCTGCTTGTGCACTACAAGGGGAGAGTTGAGTCGTTCGAACAGAAACCCTGTGGCCCACAAAACCTCCAACATTTACTACCCGGCCCTTTAGAGGAAAGGTTTGCCAACTCTTGCTCCGGAGAAACTTTACAGTTCCATGTGAAAATGTGTCTCTTTCCTCTCCCCAGATTCTGGGTTTCGTAAAAACAAAAGAGGGGCTTACTCAAAGAGTGAGTACATGGTAAGGAGGATCTGCCCGGATCCCCCTGGGATCCCTAGCATTGCTTCTGTACAGCCTTCCCCAGCATCTAGTGTTTTTTCTTTTCTAATGGCCAGCACTTCCGACTCTTAGAAGGCCTGCCCTAGGGCTACTGGAGCCCCTTGCCTGCGCGAAACAGTTCCTGAGAGTTTCTCTACCTTCGGATCCCATCCCCACCCCAACTTACCCCAGGAGCCTTCAGCCAATGAGCGACTGTAGCAGGAGTCCAGAAGCTCCACTCCTTTGCCTCCAGTTAGGACAAACTGTGAGGTCTAATTTGCACTCCAGAGGTCCCCTGAATGATCAGACTGTCTGAGACTTCCCCTGAAGTCACACCCTTGCCTGTCCCTTACCCTTCCCAGGCTGGCCTCCCCCATACCCTTGCTGTTCTCTCTTGGGAACACTTGCTAAATAAATCCTAAATCACTTGCACATGCATCTTCATCTCCAGCTTTGCCTCCAGAAGACCCCACATAAGAGACCAGGCAACCCCAAACATGTTGGTTTTATTCCAGCACAGCAAAACCAGGGACCCCTGCACACATTGCTCTTGTAATGAGTTCTTTCCTTCAGTCCCTTTCAATTTTCCTCACCCAACAAATAAATGGAATAAGATAGTGCATTTCCTTATCTTCCTTGAGATAATTAAAATATTAAATCTCAGCAGAAACCTGAAACTCAAGACTCAGAGGATTTTACAAGTGCCATAGGACACAGTCATAATGGGTTTTGCTGTTCCAGACTCAAATATAGCACAGACCAAATTCTGCCTTCAAAACCCTGTGAGTTACACTGAAAGCCTGATGTGACCTAGATAGCAGATAACTAGCAGTTATGACTCTCCCTCAACACCAAACAATACCTCCTATGTCTATAAGTTACCTTGTTTCAAGACCACTGTATCATTTCCCTCACTGTACTTAATTCCTCAGTGTATTTTATGAGCTTACCACAAGTCACACGTATAACGTAGAACAAATAAAGAGCTCCCGATAGTTACCCCCCAAAATGAAGAAATGTATAAGCTGAGTCATCCACAATTGTTTTCCGAACACTGGTCCTTCTGGAGCATGCTGATGAATTATGCATTGTTTTTCAAACCTCACGTTCTGGGACCCCCACTGCACGATGGAGCTTCACAGAATATATTACCGTCTACACTGTACATGCGGGTCACTGAATCCTCTTTATTATTTAGCAATACCTTGACTTGAACAGTCAGTAGAGAGATACAAAGAATCCCTAAGTTCATCTCCCAAGGACACATAGAGAGAATAAGGTAATAATACTAGTAGCAACACTGCCAACCTCGGGACACCGTGCTCTTCTTCCCCAAATGTACGCCTCCATTCAAACTCAGACTCAAATGTCCTTCTGTCAGTCTGTTGTCAAGTCCACGTCATCCCACCCCACGCCACTCTACTTTCTTCCCTGAGAAGCTTCAGAATGCCATCTCCAGAAATCCCATGGGGCATGGCTCCAGGTCAGCATCTGCCCCTGAGAAGCACTCAGAGGAGACTGGAAAGGTAGATGAGGAGACACCATTTCTTCACTTGCCATTGGCAGCTATGGGCAGACACAGAGGCACCTGCAGACAGCAGACAGAGTGCTCTGCCCGCGGCCTCCAGGCAGTCTCCTGAGGAGACCCCTTCTGTGTGCAGGCAGTACTTCACTAGAAGATTGGGCCCTTCACTCACCAGCCCTCCCAATGATTGCATAAGCCCCCAGTTGCCTGTATTAAACAGCTTCCTGCTTGATATACTTAGACGGGCACTCACTTTCCTGCATGAACGCTGATACACCCTTTAAGGCAAAGAGTGATCATGTCACTTTTTAACTTCTCATGAACGAGAAGAATGAAGCACCAACAATCTGATGGCTAGCTGAAAGGTTAAAGTATTCATGAGAGAGGTCTGCAATCAATTACCCCCTGGGTTGGTTACATGGACAAGAAGGAAAGGCAAGTCCCAGGGCAAATACTGAGAGAAGAGCAGTATAAACAGAGAAGGGACCGCATATCATGTTCTGCAAGCAATATTTCTTAGGCTGCTTGTGGCTGATCAGAAATGCCAGAGTTTTCTGTAACCACTGCATGCATTTCCATCCCTTACTCACACAAACTTCTGGAAGGGGACCACACATGACAGCCAAACCTCCTTCCTCAAGGGAAGAGGCTTGAGCCACTGCTGATCTTCACTACCTCTGTGACCTTGGGCAAAGTACTTACTTTTCTGAAGCAAATACTGCCTACTGTCTACCCAATATCCATTGTCCTTTCCTTCTCTTAGTATCAGACCCCAATTCTGCTCAGGGTGACAATGGAGCAAACGAAAAATAGCTGCATCACCCGGCTTCCTTTCCAGCTAGGACTGGCTATGGAAGGAGATTCTGGCCAATGGCATAAAACAAATTCCCTGTTCCACTCCCAGGAATCCATTTTTTAAAAAGGACAGATTCGGGGGGCACCTAGGGTTGGCTCAGTCGGTTAAGGATCTGCCTTCGGTTCAGGTCATGATCCCAGGGTCCCGGGATCAAGCCCCGTGTTGTCAGGTTCCCTGCTCAGCAGGGAGCCTGCTTCTTCCTCTCCCCTTGCTCCTCCCCCTGCTTGTGCTCCCTCTCTGTCAAATAAGTACATAAAATCTTTTTAAAAATTTACTTCTAATACAAATACAATGAAAGAGAGAGTTGAAAGAAGTACTGGAATAATAAAGGAACTGGGAAAGGAAAAGTTGAATCACCTAGATCAAGCCTGAGCAAACCTCTTCTGTAAATGACCACTTAGTAAATATTCTCAGTTTTGCCAGCCATATGGTCATTAATCCAACCCCTCACCTCTGCTGCTGTCTGTAGGAAAGCAGCTATAGATAACACATAAATGAATGGCTGTGTCTGTGTTCCAATAAAACTTTACTTACAGACGCTAAAATCTGAATCTCATATAACTTTTATGTATCATGATACATTCTTCTTTTGATTTCTTCAAACCATTTAAAAATGTTCAATCCATCCTTAGCTCGTGGGCCATACAAAAATAAGCAGCATGCCAAATACGGCCCAAGAGCCACAGTTTTCTGTGTTGATGTAGATAATTCAGTGAGGGGATTGTTCATTGAGTTGCCTCAACTGGTGGCACAGGGCCTAGTACACAGTAAGCACTCAACAATGCTTGCCAAATTGATTCATGCGGAACAGTGTAGGGGAGTGAGCGTGTATGCACATGTGCATGCATTTTTAGCTACTTTGTGTTTTTGTTTTGCTCTTTGCTATTACTAACATGTACATACAACATCTTAATTGCTTAGGAGTTTATTCCTTGCCCTAAAGTCTTAGGGCTAGAGCTCTAAAAATTTACAATTAATTCTATGGAGACAAGAGAGAGTTCATAAAGTGAGGATTATTACATTGAGAGAGAGACAGAGAGAGAGAATAACTACCACAAATAAACTCTGAAAAACAAGGAACATCGGAAATGTAAAACACAATGGGATTTATTTTTTTTTAAAGATTTATTTATTTATTTGACAGAGAAAGACACAGTGAGAGAGGGAACACAAGCAGGGGGAGTGGGAGACGGAGAAGCAGGCTTCCCGTGGAGCAGGGAGCCCGATGCGGGGCTCTATCCCAGGACCCTGGGATCATGACCTGAG